CTGTTGAAATCATCAACGTGTATGTCCCGAAGACTGAGTTTTTCCTCTTCTTCTTCTCTCTGGTTTGAAAAAATTTCATTACTCCGTCCTTGCGATCTTCTTCGGTCTTCATATCAAAGCCTTCGATATCCGAAACATGCCACGATCGGGTATCTCGAAGTTTCCATCCAAAATAATCCAAAAAATCGTTCAAATTATAACGTGTCCTATGCTCAGACATGTTGCAGAACTAAAATTAAGCTTACTCGTGCTGTAACAAACCGGAAATGTCGCAGAAACTGGTTCAAAACAACTCAAAATGGCGAACAAAATAATCCAGTAGGCGTTGCAAAGAAGGGGGGTCTGGAAACTAAGTTTGCGGAAACTGCTGGTCAAATGACTGTGGGCCATATCAGATCGTACAAATTTGTACGATTCGGTCTTAAAGGGTTTTAATTTAAAAAATGCCTAAATAATTCTGTTTGCGAAACGAACTGAGTAGGTTCATAAAATAATGTCTCTTTTTCTTAAACAGGGTAGGGTCAGGTTACCAACTTTCGTCTCCTTCTTAGTATTTGTTGGTTGTCGCGAAAGGACACGCCATTTTGACGCTGAAAATGGCTAAACATCTACCCCTCTTAAGGGTCGGTGTATAGCGCTAAAAAGACTCGATCGACGCTCATTGCGTCGCGGTTTATATCGACCATTATTTACCGCCTCTTATAGGAAGATAGTTGTGCACCTGATCACTACGAAATAAAATAAAATGGCGTAAGTAGGTAAGTAAGTAACAGCTTCATTAATGTGTCAATGTATTTAGTTTTCACAACCAACTGGGGACACAAGAAAAAAGTTAAAATTATTTTTAAATAAGAAATAAGGAATGTAATAGAATCAAAATATGTAGCATATATCAATTGCACAATAAAACAAAAGTTACAATGTATATAAAAGGTAGTCTCTAAGAATTGCAAAGGTTTCAGCAGTTATTGTTCGTTAAGTCTTTTTCCTAATGCTCTTTTTCAAAGATTCAACATTCGAGGAGCCTTTCAATTTATCATTGAGTTTCGACCACATTTGAGGTCCTTTATAACTTAGAGAATGTTTTCCAGACTTTTAACACTATTAAAATAGTGTTAAAAGTAGGGATATCAAAATCACTGTTTCTTAGTGAATAACTATTATTTTCTGCTTGATTAAATAGTTCGTTAACAATACCCGGCGCGAGGCCATATTTTACTTTGTACAGTAATATAGCAATATCTTGAAGTCTTCGATTAAGTATTGAAGGTAGCTCTGCAGGAACCAAAACGATTTCGTATGACTATGCCATACCAGATGGCAATATGTTAAGTGAGGCAGGATGGATGATTTGTAGATTATCAGTTTTGCATTGCATGGTATCAAACTTCGCAGTCTCAATAGTACACCATCTTTTTGAATTCCTTTATGCAAAAGTTACTGATATTGGTGAAATTAAGTGTATATATATTTTTCCTTTCTGTAAACGGTATAGCGACATCAAACTTCTTTAGTAATGCAAGCGCAAAATTTAATTTTGCCAACGACTCAGTTTTGTTTTCGGCTTGACTTATTCCTAGGGCTGAAAGGTCACGACGTCGTCAAGCACTAAGGCAAACTGCTTTTATCTCTGTTCGTTTAGAACAGTTCAATTTACTTGTTATAGATATTTAAACGATAGTTTAGGGTTAGGTGACTAACCAAATTTGGTGATTCTTACGCCTTCTCGTTTGTTGTGAAAGGTGGTTTGCATGCAGTTATCACTATGTAATACGTGCATAGCTGTGCATGTTTTTATACTGCAGGAAGCCTTGGGTTTATAAGCCACGTTGTTTGATACCTAGGCTTAGTTCCTTTGTTTATTATTTTAGGTGTATTCTTACTGAGCAAAGGCGGCTATTTACTATACCACAAATGTTATTGAATCATCCTCCTTGGGTTTCCTCCGACCCAGATGTAAAATCAGAGGAGCTCCTATGAATCGACACGCGTAGCACCGCGTTGGCTATGTCCAACAGTTAAAAAAGGGCACGTGGAATGATTGTTTTATTAAAAACGCCAACGAAATATCGAGAATTCTTCCCGACTTGATTTGTAAAAACATCTGATTTTCAGCTTGTTTTTAATTTTGAGCAGACAGTACAGTTACCATATTTAGAGAGAATGGTACAATGGCTCATATACTGATGGCTAAGCCAATCAGAGCTCTAGAATTGCATTATCCCATGATCCAGTCTGTTATACGTTGGTGCTCTTTTATCATAGGTGCAATGTTTTTTTCTGCTATTCTAACCGTTTATTAGTTTACCTCCGGCTGAAACATCGAGGAAACGTTTTTTCGGTTAGGATGGAAGAAACCTACTGCTCCCCAAGGATCATGTTTGCTATCAGGCTAAGATAAAAGTGTCAGTATTTTCAAGGAAACCATCAAAAGCACAGGAAAAAAGATAAAGTCGTTACACTGATTGTATTTAAAAACGTACAAAGAAATAAAAGCCTTGATAAATAAAAGAAAACTGTACTCTTGACAGACGTTCGTACTGTGACATCTTAACTTGCTATAACTTACTGTATGGTATGCCCGGTAGGGGATATCCATACGGTATACCCGGTAGGGGATACCCATACAGTATCCTGTACCGGGTAATTTACAGCACTGGTAATTTAGGTATCCAAATAATTGTGATTGTGACCCCCAAATTTCTAAGGAAAGAAACCCTGGGAACTAAGTACCACTTCCTATCTTGATCAAACAAATTTCGATATTTAACTTTTTCAAAACATAAATAGTCCATATCATTGTCAGTGGCTCTTTATTTTTGTTTAAATCGCCAGGAAAGTCTGCAAATAGCTGCATTGGATAGATCGATATTGAGACTGTACGGGAAATTCTCTGTTAGGAGCGGACATAAGGAGTTCAATTATGGAATTAATAGGGCTTTTTCAAAATTATTTGTCTTGCGTGAACTATAACGTTTCCAGTTGAGAGTGGGACTGGGTCGAGGAGAAAACATTTGATAATTGCATACGGATAAAATATTTTGCAATTCCGCGTTTAATTTGACTCATATACCTTTAAACTTAACACTATCGAAAAATAAACGGGAGCTTCAACAGTCATTTTCATGGCGTAATCTGAAAATACTAAATTTTGAATAATTATGGGTGTGGCTGGTCACGTGACCTTAAGAGGCACAGTGTGAGGTCCGAAAATGGTGCCAGTGTTAAGCACATATGTTTAACTAAAAATGAAAAGAGATGACAGACAAAACAAGAAAAAACGATAAAAGCCCAAAATGGAGCGAGGAGCCATGTCTTAAATCACTCGAGCTTTAATAACACATAGAAGTAAACTACACTGACATGAAAGAAATATAACAAAGATGCTATAAACATAATTAACGGGAAGGTTTGACAAGAAGACTGGTGTTGGCCAGTCGAAATATCGCAACTTAACTCTCTTTCACGTTGTTTGATCAGTCCCTGTAAAAGTCTTCTTGACTGTAACGTTTTCAATTTTATATATTTTGACTGATCACGATCTTTTTGGATCCGACGATGAGCAAGATTGTTCGTACACGGTTTTTGCAGTGTTTTTTTCTACCTTAACTAAACACAAGAACATTCCATTCTTCCCCCACTGTTTGAGAGATAACCTGGTCTGTCAAAGGGAAGAGAAGGAGGATATTGGCGCGTGGAAGCACGAAGAGCGCACGAGAAAGGAGGAAAGGGGTCGCGCCTGTCCTCCCTTCTCCTCCACGTTCGGTCTCGCTCCTAAATTCCCTTCCCTTCCCTTCCCTTTCGAACGCTGGCACGCAGGCAGGAGATAATCACGTTATCCTAAAATCATGTTCATCTTTCCAGATAATTTTTATAAATTTGAGAAGGTGTGATTTTTATCCTTAAAATTCTTATCCGATTTTAATAATGGTTTTGCCTTGAAGTTTTTAGCTAGAAACTGGGAATCGTCCAGTGATTGAGGAGAAGTGTGACGTCACTTTACCATGATAGCAAAATTTCTGAATGACAACAATGGGGAGTCTTTGGGGAGTCTTTAGATTGGCAAAAAAACGTCTTTGCACGTGCTTCACGCTTTTTTCTACATTTAATTCTTAACAGTTGTTGCACGACCGCGACATGAAACTTCCTAATTTCACAACGCCCGCTTTATGGAGTTGGGGAACGCGACACAAAAATTTTATTTTTATTTTTCTAAACTCACATACACTCCTTTCGAATTTAACCCAGAAAATTTCGCCCACCTTTGACAAATCAAATGAAATTAAATAAGATCGAGGAAGTTTGAAACAGTGCAAATCCACTTTGGTTTGTTGTCGTCCAAAAATTTCGCTACCGTGGCAACGTGACGTAACGACTTCTCCTCTCTATTCACCAGAATCATTTAATTAAATCGTTTTTCTTCAGCAGTTTTTTTTCTTTCGCTGAGATGAAAGATTATATCAGGGCCTTTACTTTGACTACATATTTAAAGACTTCAGGAAATGAACGACAATCTGATGGTATACTTGTTAACCCCAAGGAGAATGGGTTCCCCTGAGATATATGCTGTATTGGTATATATCTTTCTTCCATAACATAAAAAAAAGGATTGCCAGTCAATTGCTCTCTGTCGCAGCCATTTTTGTCTCGTCACCCAACGGGAAGGAGCGCTGCGTGGCAAGACAAAACGGCTGTATGGGTTAACAATTCCCTACAAGCTGAGCCAATTATTGTGTCGTCACGAAAGGTGCCTTCCCACAAAGGAAATAAAGAAGCGTTGCATGACAAAACAAAGAACTGCTGCACAAAAGTGCACGAATAACACTAACATGCCGACATAATAATACAAAATTATGTTTTTTATACGACAAAAGTAACCACAAGCGCTAAAAAGAAAATAACCAAAAACAATACTTTCGCACTTTGCGCTTTACAGTCTATATTTGTAGAATGCTATTCTAAGGAAATTAAGACAGCGCCAAAGTTAAAAACTTCCCCCATTAGGACTGGGGCCTTGATACCTCCTCAATAATTATCCGGGACACTGAATTATACCCAGTGTTAGCATCACCCACGGTTTTGCCACTACACTGTCCTACCCATAATTCCACTCTAACCGCGCCTTGTGGGATGTTTTCACAGTACCCCTCAAATGACCGATGATGAAGCAGATTGGAGTTCGCAGATGAACGCCAGCTGTTGTAAACAACAGCCTCAATCGTCTTTGGTCCACTGCATTCATTTCCATTTAACTTGAAATACCACCGGTTGCACTTTAAATCACCAACGACCCTCATGTTGCCCTGGAATGAGACTCTGAGAGCTGAATTAGACTGCAGTTTGTTAAACGCACAGTCCTGGAATAAAATCAAACGAATCAAACATTACTTGGAGCCTCCATATGTGCTGTAACCTTGAGTAAGGGTCTCAATGGGGTTAGCCGATAGCTGTAAAAATTGAAAATATTTAACCGTTAGTCGTAAATATAGTAAAAAAAGAGTTAACCGTAAAAGAAACTGTTCCCTAGATTTGCCACTTTTAAGGGAGGTACAAAACTCACTTATGGTTGCGTTTTTTATTTCCCGGCTAGTGTGACTCCGTACGTACGTTAGGCGAAGCGCCTTTTAGGTGTTGACCAAGACCTAGGCTCCATTTCCTCCACTCCTCTTGGGAAAGTAATAATGTTTTCCATAACGAAAGTGTGGCTTCTCTGCTAGGGATTAGTATTTGCTATTTTCAGGAGGTCGTGCCTTCAAAACACTAGTGAAACAACACACACAGATATCACTGTTTGTAAAACACGTTGCCGATAAACAACATTTCCCTGTTTTTTCTCTGACGCTACGGTAGACATTGCCGTCCCTGTACGGAGTCTTTCCACGCAATCTCGGTCAAGGCATTTCGGTGGCGAACTCGCTTGGACCACGTGACCCGAAACGCATCAGCCGCGCGAAATAATGGGGTCTACGGACAAGGCAACGGCAGACAGTCGTTCCGTACAGTCCTTTGCTATCATTAAAAAGACTGGACACAAGAGATGGATTATCCGTCTGAGACTAGTCTGTGTACAGTAGCGCCCTCCCCACAGACACCCCTTCTCCGATTTTTTTCTGAGGGGAGGGGGCGGCTGTACACAGGCTATCTGGAACGGGATAATCCCGTCTTGAAACTGTCCGTCGAAATTGACGGATAAAGTTAGGCGGATTGTTCATTCAAAATTAAAACTATTCAATTTTCAAATTACGAAGTATTACCTATCTGACGCGAATCATCAAACGGAAAACCCGTCTCACACGAGTAATCCGTCTCTAGTGTGAAAACGGCCATTTCTGTTATAATGGATGTCGCGCCCCGGCCTTGAGTTGGGCATTTGCGTGTCCGCTTTTGCTTTTTCACAAGGATTATTTTTAAATTGACTATTGACATTTCTATGTATAAAATAATATCAGAAGTGAAATACTTCATAAAAAGTATGATCTATCAAATGTTAAAAATTTTCAAAAGAATGGTTTGTTTCATCCCGAGATGAGTTGAAGACCTTTTTTCGATTTAAAGATACAAAAAAATACAGGTAAATTAATATTTAACTTTTTGAAACAAGAGAAGTTAATTTTTAACTTTTTTGTTAACCGTAACTGAAAAAAATTAACCGATAGCCGTAAAATAGCCAAAATTATAGCCGATAACCGTAAAAGCCACCACCTCATTGAGACCCTCTTGAGTCAACCCATTCCCTTAAAGAATTATTTTTAGAACAGGCTTTTCCGCGAAATAAATGTGTTTCCGAGGACGTCCGCATATTTCCGCAGGGAGAAAAAAAATGGCGACGGAAGAAGGAAATTGGCCAACAAGTTTACTCCTTGTTCCTTGACCGTGGCTTCTGCCTCGGTCCCTTCACTTACAATCAAGGGAAGCTGGTTTCGAGTTAATATAGGTAATATGTAATCTGGCTTAAAAAGATTGCTATATTAATTTTGTTGCAACGCACGAAGTCAAATATAGTAATGCTCGTAATGTTGTATTCCATCGTCATTATTTAAAAGGAGCCTTTCAAAGAATTTAAAAATGAAATTCTTTGATGGAGAACCAGACTTTTTAAAAGTGAATTGGAGCGCTCACAGTAAGGTCTGTAACGGTTGATCGTGGAACCGGCAATGCCGTTGCAGGACTATAATCTTTTTTTAGTAAAGGTTGAATCAAGGAATCGGAGGCCAATTTGCGCCTTTGTAAGTAGCAACTGTTGTGTTTTCTGTGACTTATCTACCGCAACCTGGAGCAGTGAAAAGCAAAATATTCCCCTCATTATTTTGGAGGATTTCCCTTAAAGAAGCAAAACGTCCAAGTGAAGAAAAGTATCGGTTTATGTTGTCCGGATTTTTATTTATTTTGATGGTGCCATAAGTTATTACTTCGTTACCACAAGACGAGAAACCTACAAAAAAAAAAAAAAAAAAAAACCTTTGAGTACAGAATTATCAAACTCAGGAAGAAATTAAACATAGTTTGGCAATCACACTATTTCTCATGATACTAAAAGATTTCATGGCCGCAGCATATACTTGTAGCGGAGCTCCACCCGCGCGCGAAGCGCGCGCGTGTGGACGGAGCTCCATAGCTAAGGAAATGTGGTAATCTACCCATCCGAGAAAATTTGGTAATCACGTGACCGTACGCCCGACCGTCCGTCCACACCACAGGGAAACCAATGGTCTCTCTTCCACTTTCTAGCTAGTTTGGGAGTCCAATAGAAAACTCATTGCACATCAATGTTGTGATCAATTGACAGCTGTCAAAACAGGATATCCGCTGACCAGTGTCACCTGACCGTACCGCGGGCTCAAGTGTCGACCCATCGAGGTCGAGTACTTTTTTGAAGTTATCCGCTGACAAATTACCAGTTTCAAATGATCGCAGGCTCAAGTCTATTTTTTCCAATGATTCATATGAAATATCTTGTGTTTATGTCACTATGGCCCCGCACTGTCAAGATTTTGATTTCAAACTGACCTCGGACGCGAAAATTCAGCCACTTTTTTAAAAATAAAGGCGGGGAAGACCTTTTCTTACCATGGTCACGCGTTGGTCACGCTCTACGTCCAATTTTTGTACTCTGATTGGTCAAAATTTGACAGGTGAGTTCATGCGGAAAATTTATGCAGCATCTTGAAAGTTGTTTACTTTGGCATCTAAAGCTGACAGGGTTTTGTGTCAACTTGTGATGTTTTTAACTGTCTTTTTCCACTGGATGTACAAAATGAAATACAGCTGCTACCAAGAGTCTTCTGTTATCCATGGCTGGTTTGTTTATTGGGTTTTGGTTGAGAAATGCGTCGCTTGTCAAAATTGGGTAATTCGATTTCGGATGGCATCGTTTTCGTCTTTCACCTTGCTCAATGCGTAAGAGGGTCTAAAAGTCTCAAGCAACTATGGCCTTCCTTGATATCTTTCAGGAACTGAATCTCGAATGGTAAGCCTGAGTAATTATTGTATTTGATGTTTATTTTTGTTATATCTAATTTCATGAAGTCGAGCACAGTTTATGCGGCAAGTTTGTGCACGTTTGTTAAGATTTGAGTCAATGATCTGATCTAGTATCAGGTTTGATATAAGCTTACAGAACTTTAAAAGGCCTTCAGATTTTTTTTTTCACGGCAAATAGAAAAAAAACGTTCCGAAGAATATTTAGTTATAAATTTGGCTGTAGAAAGAAAACTTTGAGTGATTTTCTTGCTTCGAGGAGTTCATCTTTGAAAAAAAAAACAAACACCGGGAGGCCGGCTGAAAGTAAAACAAAATAAACTTAACCTTAAGCTTTGAGCTTAAAGACTTAGGATTTTTAGAGACACTTTAATACTTGTCTTCGTGAATGAAAATTGTTGTCTCTGTAAATGCTTTACCGAATTATATTTCTTTTATTGATTGTTAGTAGTCTCTCTTGCAATTTTAATCGCTTTTCCGTGGTGTTTGTTTTCATCGTTCATGAACATCGCTTGCAGGAGTACTTAATGTCGCGCGTATCAAACGTTTTATAAGATTACACATCGTTATAACTGGAACCATTAAATAACAAAAAGTAATAATAATAAATTCGTTATTATGTTGAAGTTCATTCAAACACTCAACCACACTGACAGCTCGCACTAAAAATGAGAACCGGCTGGCCGTATGAGTGATTTTGGAAATTTTTTGAACGGTTTCGCTAAAAGCCCACGATTGATCGTCCTGGACATTGAAAAATTGTGAAATGCCGTATTCTGTCCGAGGTCTGTATGATAAAAAGTACTGTTTCACCTCAGATGTGATGTATAAAAAGTATAAAAGGTTGGTTTACACACCCTCAGATTTGTTGGCAAGGATTTGTAAAGTAAACCTGTCGAACGCCAAAAAATACGGCCTGATTTGTTTTCCAAGAATTTGTTTTCGAGGCCTAATCTACTGTGATCAAGAGCCATTATGGCTCTTGAATGTGATAGAAGATGTTTGCTATTTTTTGGGTGTACATATACTTAGGCTATGAACTCGATGTAAGATGTTTCACTCTAAAATAACTTATCCTTTCCCTCAAAAGTCACATGAATGTGCTCTTAAGTTAACTGATTTGTGGATTAAAAGTTTATTGTTTGATTTAAAATATAAATTTATTAATGGGAGCTTCGCTTTTAGCCCTGGCTAAATCTATATATTAGGCCTTAAATAACTGCAAAAAGAATATGCAAGAGGACGTGACATGCTGAGACATTTAAACTCCGCTGTGAAACCTCTGAGAACCTTTCTTTCATCAGGTGTCAAGGATTTTAATCTTTTGAAGTCGCTAGCCCCATCGGCTCGCTCCTTTTTTTAATGTTATGACTGCTTGTTATTTCCTTGTTTGCATGTAACTAAGTTTCTTAGTAGAGAGCGAGAAATACGAGGCTCAGTAGATTCTGTATTGACAGTTGTTGTATTGTGTGAATGAAACCGTCAGAGTATGTTAGGTACGCAACAGTAAATTAAATACTTTAACTCAGTTTTATTTTAAAAAACCAATGCACATTTCGGACCAATATTGTTTCGAGAAGTTACCGAATAATTAAAGGTTTGGCGCCTACCGTAATTCGCATTTGGTTGTGCTTCGGTCAGAGGTCACGTTTTTTCGCCTGTTTTTAGTGCAACATTTACATTTTCTTCGGTTTGTCGGCGCTCGTGATTTCATTTACCCAAAAATTTTGTTTCGCTGATTTGAATAAAAAATAATGCTCTTTCAGGTTAAAGAAGCCTTGGTGTTCAAAGCCATGTACCAATCCGCTTTTTTAGCTGGTGAAAAAGTGCTAAATTTTGACGGTTGATTAAGCGATTTTGAGTCGACAACTTTAAAAATTTCTTAAAAAATCTCTTGTTGACCAAATCGCAAACTAATCTGTTAAAATTATAGAGGGAAGATAGTGAAGATATGAAGTGTCATTATGTTTTAGTAGCCAACTTTATTTTAAAATAAACGAGCCACTGAATATGACTCTAATTTTGCATGATTTTTGCCCATTTTAGGCCTCGGGAGGTAAAAAATTCGGTAAAAAAATATTATTCACTCGATCGTACTTAAACCAACGATTATGTAACTAGGGCCCATAGGGTTTTATTCTGGCTGAGTTTGAGGCCAGGTCAATTTTTGACGATTTCCACGTCTAGTTGATATTTACGCGTTTACGCGGAGCCGCTCTTAATTCGATATCATGCCTTTTGAACATCTCGTTTGTTTTGTTTGATATGTCGTCTTGAAATATTTGCCGTTGAATTATATGTTATCAAAGACCGTTTTCATCCACAGCCACATTAATTTGGCTTATAAAACTCCATTCATAATTCGCGACCTCAGATCTCGCACAATTACAGCCGCCGCAAGCGAAAGATGCAGTCCGTGTTCGATCTTTAACGGAGTCGTAAAAGCATACTTTGTGGTTTGATGCAGTGTGGTCCCTTGTTGAATCAGAAAAAGCTCCAAAACATTGTAGAAGTGAGTTAACCAGTGAAATAAGGTAACTAAAGAGCTTGTTTTTCAATATTTATTTACCCGCTGTCGAGGGCCAGGACTGGGTTTTTCGTGATAAAGCTTATTCTCGGCTTGCACTGTCACGCAATGAAAAATAGTGATTTATCCAATAGATAATGCTATTCAGCATTTAAACACCAGGGGTCAGGACACATGAATTCCTAGTAACATGTACATGATGTGAAGACCATCACCATCTGATGAAGCTTTTTTGACGAAATAGTTTTGTCAGTAATGGAGTATGGGCAAAAATGCAACAGAATCTGTACCATGATCAAAATAGGTTTGAATGTTAAGTAAAATGGGCTAAATTCTACACTTCAGCACAGAAAAGCTAAGAGTTCAGTTTCATCCCGGAGATTTGGTGACATGTGGTAGACCAGGAGACTTGTGCTGTATTCGCAAGACTCAATCCCCAGCTGATATTCTGGGACAGTTGGCACATATGCTAAAGTGGTGACAACGAGATGGGAGCTTTCCTGTATTTGTCTTGTAATTCTAATCTAGGAGGGGATTTCAGACTGTAAATCCTCTATTAAGCCACCCCTCTCAAATAAAGTTGGTTAGAAAGTTAATACGCACCCCTTTTTTTTAAGCTCCCTGCCTCGTGTGAAACTTTGTGATGACTGACCCTGGATGGTTTATTCACCAGCTGGAAGTTAGGATAATTTGTTAAAAAAGAGAGACTAAACAGAGAAAAAAAAATGGTACATAGAAACAGAAAACAGCGTCGCCGGGAGTCGAACCCGGTTCTCTGCACGTTCAGGCAACTCCCTGACCACTGCACCACAGTGTCGAACAGTGACACGCCTGATTAGAAAAATTAATTTTGTCATATCAAAACAATTTTTCTCTGCCATAGACGCTGTTTGAAGCTGGTGGAGCTGTATTTATCATGAATTCAAATATACATTTGAGGAAAATTAGCTTAAGCGCGTATTTCAAAGCTATTTCGCATTATTTCGGGTTCAACGGGCCGACTCGATGTAGATAATCAATCGAACTAGCTTTACTGAATTTGGTGGAGAATTAGGAGATCAACAGAAGCCCACACTCGAAAGGATTGATATGAAGTTAGGCCCGTTTCATTAGCAAAAGAATAGATGAAATATAAACATGAGTGGTCTGAGAATGGAACTTCCAATTCTGGAGACTAGACCTCGCCTATTTTAGAGAAAAAAAAAAAAAAAAGACTTAAGTTTTGATGACTTTGCCGGTTCCGTGAAATAGATGGCGATCCCGCAACACGGCCCGCAAAACAAATTTAAAAAAAAATTATACAATCACGGACACAAAATATCAAAACGGTTTACACAAGCAGATTATAGCAACACCAAAGCTCACACACATTCGATCAAATAAGCGATATATAACGATATTAATATTTGCTAGCTTCTAAGGTTTTCCCCGACCTCGCTCGTCCAAATAACTGTCGTATCCCTTGCTAATTTGGACAAGCGACCCGAGACTCTTGCCCGTTACTATGTGACGTCATACTGGCAGGCGGAGTGGGTTAAGAAACTCAGGTGGAAAACAATAGAGTTACCCCCCCTGATCAGATAAATCTTCCACGCTGGCTACCGCTATTGTTGGCAGCAATTCAAATCGCGCGTTCGTGACTCGACGTGTGACGTATGATCATAGCTCTGTTCTGATTGGATATTACCAAGAAGGCGTGAAAATATCCCGCGAAAGCTATTTCTATAAATAATTTTTCGCCGAAAAGGGTTGACTCCAAGGGCTTATATGGGAGATGAGGGCTCCAAGTAATCGGCTTCTGGACTCTGAGCGCTGAATTAGACTGCAGTTTGTTAAACGCACAGTCCTGGAATAAAATCAAACAAATCAAACATATTGTAGTAAGGCAAGCCACCGCGTGTGATGATTGATACGAACAACTCCATTCAAGATTACTTCCTTATTTAAAGTTATTTATGCAATGTGTTAGCAAACGGTGAGTGAGAAGGGAGACGTTCCTCTTTGAAATATTTTGATTTAGAGAGGAATTACTTTCCTTTGGAGTTTGTTATGATTCTTTTTCTAATTACCTTAATCTTTCCGTTATCAGTACCGCTGTCTGATTCCCAGACACATTGTTTCCAGTTGGTTTGTGGTACTACACTTGCTTGACTTGCTTTGGCGCTTTCTCCTTTCTCCCCTTTGTCTCCTTTTCTTCCTGAATTTCCCACAATAGAAATGCCTCGCTGTCCTTTCATTCCCAGAAGTCCTTGTTGACCTTTCATTCCGTTAATTCCTCGTGGTCCACTCTTCCCAGGGGGTCCTTCGCGCCCTCTGCCTCCTCTTGGACCCGGCATTCCTTGTGATCCTTTATCACCAATTTGTCCTTTTACACCTTCCCTTCCCTGGGGTCCGTGTGGCCCCGGGACGCCCGGCACTCCCGGCAAACCATTTGATCCTGGAATACCAGGGAAACCCAGCATAGATCGCTGAAAGTAAAGATGACATGTAATTAGCAGAGACGAAGATGACACGGGATCTTGAATTACTCGGGGGGGAAGAATGTACTCCTGGGAATTCTAGATGGGGATGTGCCGCCCGGTTCCCCACATCCTGACTCTATTTCAGACCAAAACACGTCATTTTTTACACCCGTTTTCAGACTTGGCCCCTAAAATCCATACCAGTTTTCAGACCTTGTCTCTAAGGAATTATGCATGTGACCATTATTTAGATAAGAACAGCAACGAAAAAGAATTCGCATAATTAGTTCTCTTTCCTTCTCATTTGGAATTGAAACGATAAATACGTTCATACACGCCCGTAGCTCCCTCGTAAACAATGATTCCACACCAAAATGAACAAAGTCTGTACCCGCCAGCCGTCTCCCTTGTTTCCGAGGCACGGAATAGACCTTGGACATCATAATCCTATTTAAAGCGTTATCTCGCCTCGAATGGACTTGGATGGAATCAGAGAAAATTAACAGTTAACAATGGACAGGCTTTAGGTTTTCGAGGAAAGATCATGCTGAAAAGAGGACTTTTAAATAAACTGCCATACACTTTTAACGGGTACTGTTTAGTAAATGATCATAACGACGTGAGAGTAGTAAAACAGTTTCTGGATGCTACGGCGCAGTTCTCCTTTTTTATATCTCTATGCATTTCTTACCTGGCATAAGTCTTTTAACTTTGAATCGTTTTGTTGCTGAGGTGGGGTTTTTGTTCCCAGAGAGCCACCAAAAAAAGAGAGAATCAGGAAAACAGCGAAATACTGAACCACGGTGGTGACTAAATAGAACGAGAACACAGCGTTTTCTGAAATCAGTGCTACGTGCTCATTCATTTTATAGCAAATATTTTAAGTAAAACCTCTTTTCCTGTATATGTTTGTTTGTTTTTGCTTGTTTGTTTTCCTTTTATGGCAATTTTTTAGCATCTTCTTATTCCCTGTTTATAAGCCCGCTTCAGAGCACTGAAACAGGGTCAAAAGATGAACATTCCAAAAATAAATCACGGAACATAAATTGCTACAAAAGCAACAAAGTTTTATGCATGCTATCACGACTTTGCGTTTCTAACGGTACCCGATGCCTTTCCTCTTTAGTGCGCCAAAAATTATACTTTGCCTTTAGTCCAAGTTTGCTATGTTATGTTGTTAGGTCAGAAAAAGTGGCGGGTCCATTAAGCTCCAGCTAAACAAGCCTCAACGTGTCTAATGTTAGTGTGTTTATTTTTAAACACCTATATCTTATGCCTTGGAGAAGGGGGGGGAAGGGTGGGAAAGGGGGGCTCTCTATAATAACCTATGCGGGGAGGTTCTTCCCAACAGGGTACATCTTTCAATTCAGGACAGACTATTCCACGTTCTTTTCTTTGTGTCAACTTCTGATATAGAGAAGTCAAGCAGTTGGCACCACTGAAAAGAAAGGCCTTAATATTTGTAAAATTGCCAAGCGTTGAAAGTGATTTGTTGAAAAGTGACGAAGATATAGGTCCTCAAAGTCGCGCGAAATTTTATAGGACCGTTTGTATGGTTGGTGCCGGACACAAAGTTCATCGACATCGAGTTATATCCAGTCCTGTTAAATTTGGCTCATTCTTAACAGAGCGTCTTCAGTATAACTATTACCACAAACTGTTGCTGATACAAAGGCGTACAAACAGAGGGGCTTTAATATCCGAGGGGGCCTATAGATGGCATAGAAAAAGCGCTTCGAAATAAGCTGTAGCATTGCTGATCAAAATAAATGTTTTTACATTTACTGGTCGTTAATTAAGGCTATAAATCGAATTCAATTCAGTTCAAGCAAGAGGGGAGCTTATTATACCCGGTGGGGATTATATTCGGAATTTTTTTTTTCCGTTAACAGGCATGATATGGGCCCATAACTGAAGAGGAGGACTTATGCGGCGTTTACGGTGTTTGCCTGCATTGGTTCAGGCCAATAGACGGTATACGAAAGGGTACCCAGGCTTTTCTGTCGAAAATGATATGTCTAGCATTAATGGGTTAGTCCTCGGGGGCGGTCTCCCCATCTTCGTACTTATTTTTGCTGTAGCAGATGCTACGTAGTGGAGAACGTGACCCTACTTTTTGAAACGTATACTCGGCTGCAAAGCAGTAGCGAGTTATTTATGTTAGAGGCAGCCAGTCCTCACTGAGAGAGTCAAGCAGCAAGTAACATAATAGAGCTTAAGCAACAACTGCGGGAGGAAGAAGGAACTTGCCCTTGTAACTGGAGAGTTTTAAGCCCGATTTCACACTATGATTTTTCGAAAGAAAAACAAAAAGATAAAAACTGGCCAAAAACCGCCTAGATTAAAATAAACTGTTGTATCACCATATGATTTTATTTGGAAATCGGGCCTACAATCGCTACGTGTAAACTAGCCTTAAAACAGCAAAACAAAAAATCAAAATGAATTACAACTTTTTCATACATTTTATTACTATTTTCTACTCAACTAAGTCGTGCAATGCGAACACCGAGAAAGACGACTGACTTTTAGTTTCCCTTTTTATAAAACTTAAACACATTCCGTATTGTCTGATATGCTTTCCACTCGCTAATCTCACAACCACAAATGCATGTACACTGATGAATTATTTTAAAGTACAAAGGTAACTTGCCTAATGATTTTTAAATAGCAACATAGTGAAGCCCCGCCATACGACCACCTCGTTGCTACGACCATATTCTGTCCATACAAACGTAGAAATCGCTGACTTATTTTTTTATTGTTTTCAAAATCGCCCATTAAAGCGACCACCCCATTATTACGATCAGGATTTTATAGCCCAACAGTGGTCGCATTGACGGGGTTCCACTGTAGTTAATTGTTTTATGACTCACGTTTGAGGATCAATACTGACCTTCACCGACTGAGCTCAAACAGGGCTAATCAAATAACAATGCGCTTAACATTAACTGCGTTCTGCACTTGAATATAAATATTTTTAATTTTTACTGTAAAGCCATTCTTAACCGCTTTAAACAACGTATTCACATGTATATCATAGTCATTAAAATAAAGAACACAGATAGTTACGAATAAATAAGAATTGTTTAAATAATTAACACTGTTTATACTTGTTTCCTTCTGCAAGGCTCTTTTGAAAAAGCAAGACACCAAGATGTCGCAAAACAAAGGAAATTACAAACAACCTCCTTCTAAATACATTTATAGACATAATAGTCTGTTCACTTTTAAAAGCTACTTCATTATACTGAACTAGTACTAACAGAAAAACATTTAATTATTCAGTCCTCTGCACTATTAGCTTTCCACAGTATCCGCTTTATCCGCAGGATCTTCGTCAAACTGCGACCTTTTCAATCCAAGAAATCTGAGAGCATTTCCGCCTAACAATTTATCCTACAACAAGAGATGGATGTTGAATTAAAAGGTTTTTATCTGAAGTTAGACTATTCACAGTCCCCTATTTCTTCGTAAGATCGATAGGATACATGAACCGAGGGAGCGGGCGTCGGGCATAACCTATCCATGATGGCAAACCGTAACGCAAAGTCTTAGATCCCGACGATCTTACGGAAAAATAGGGGACTGTGAATCGAATGATGAACGGGAGATTTGATGAATGTGATGAAGAACAAAACACCCCCCCGCCGCCCGAACAATTACACAATTACTCCACTTCTTTTCCAAAATAACAGACCTATTGATTGGGATGTCAGTCAAGTTCAAGTTCAAGTTAATTTCGCACTATTTAAGTTGGTACAGTATAAGATGGCTTACAGAATCAGTGGGTTAGCAATTGATGAAAAGTAAATATAACATACAGGTTTGTTGATATGTGCAGAGCTGTGCAGAGAGACCAACGTAGCCGAAGCTTTCAGAGTTTTCAAGTTTAGTTCAGTCCTATTAGACAGACTTGGTATAGAACTATGAATGTGATTGTTCTCTTACCCTAAGTTCCAGGTCGTCTTTGTACACATCCTCGATGAGTTTTCCCTTATGATGTTCTCCGAGAGGAAACGGGTAGTCACTGCCAAAAACTAACATTCTACTGTAGAAAAAAAACAACACAACAAAACAAAACAAAACAAAACAAAATACACATGCAAGATATTGAGCTCTCGCTTGCTGCAATGAGAAAATTGGGAACTTGAAGGTTTATTTTTTTTCCGTGTTATGTCTGTCCAGGGGACAAGTGTTCTTCGCACTCAAACGAGGATTGTTGAAAACACAACTTTAATGGGGACTCAGACCCGGCTTGCACACGTCAGCTCGTTCTTGATCAACACAACAAATCTCATCTTGGCTTACTAAAACTTCACCTTGTCAGCAAACTGAACCCACGCAAAAGAAAAGCTAAATCACTGTCGGGGCGGAAATTGAAATGTTGTAGGAGCTCTGAAAAACTTACCATACGATGAGAAACTCGCACCAAAGCGTTACAGGTAATTTAGCACATCGACTTTGTTTCACGACGTTTTCACAACCAAAGATTCGATGATTCAAAACAAAATTGTTACTGCAGCTTAGCCAGTTTCCGTACAATTAAAAGACTCTTGGTAAATGGATTGGATACATCAGTTATGGTGCCATTAAATCACGGTAAAAACGAAACGCGAACTGTAGCAGTTATACATGTACAAGCAATGAAGCCATAACTCTTTTAAATAGTAAGTTGCGTCTTTGTTGCGATGAGAATTAACCCTTAAGCCCCGATATCTACATACAAATTCTCCACACTGTTTTTGGTGATCATTTCATCAACTGTCATAACCATTTCCCTTGATTGTGCTGGTATTGTTAGGAGAAAGCTCATGTTGGTCACTCTTATGACTTATTAAAAGGGTTAAGTCATTTTAGATCCCATTGATATGGCACATTTAGTCTGTTTATTTAAGGGGCTACGTCATCGGGTTATTGCTGTTTTAGGTCAATTCTGCGCTTAAGTCGTTACTTAGTACTTTTACCTTGGAGTAATGAAGTAAATATAAATCAAACAAATTTCATCAGAGGGCACTAACGAGAATACTTTTCTAGTGATTTTTGCT